GACAACGTGATCTTCAAAAATGGCATGCTATGTTTTCTATCTTTTTGGTGTTTTTCTATAAATCCCCATCAACCGGCTATATCCCTATAATATCCCAATAGTTTGTGAAATCCCTATTGTTGGTTGGTTCATTCCTCAGCATGTGTCGTTCTTTTTTCTATTAATTTCCTTTGAAATCCCCATGAAATACCACCTTTCTACCCCCATGCGTGATGCGCGTGATGCGCGGTGTCAAAAACCACTTTGATCCACCATTGTTGGACAAACCCAACTATCATAGTGTTGCTGTAGTGTATTCCATGATATCCCATCATTCATATCCCCATCTTTGCCATTTAAAACACCGTGGTTTTTGGTTGTGTTTTTGCTTATACATATCCCATGATATGTTCGAAACTACTGTGCCCCTATACTAATCCATTGGATTATCATCATGTTCCCTGATAACATAGCCATTTGGAGGTTAAACACCCCATTTTCAATCCCATAATGTTGGCATTTGTTGGCTACATATGGGGGTTTCTTCTGGGGGATCCCCAAGTCAACTTTCCAGGTCACATCGCTGGAGGCAGCTGTAGAGGCAGACCATAAGCGTCGGAAGCGGTCCTTCTTGCCGCTCCTGACAAAAAACATTGCGGAAAGTCATGGAAAATCCGCTAAACGAAGTGTTTAATGGGAAAATCCATTATAAATGGAGAATTTCCCAGCCCGACACGTTTGATTACTGGAGGGTATCTATCAAAATCGAGGGGTTTTAACATATTTAACTTTAACCATCAAACATGATTGTTTTAATCAGCGGTGAATAATGGTGGTTTAACGGTTTAACGGTGTAACCATGAACATTGGGATCATATATAACTTACAGTAAATATTTAACAAGTGAAATTAGCGAAGGTCGAACAATGGCTTGAGTGACCCAGGAATGGACCGATGGAGTATTTGCAATCGGCTTATAATCATTTGCAGTACAGTAACCCCAAAAAGCGAGAAAAGGAACAATTTACATCAATTTACCGCATGTTTTTGTACAGTAGGATGATGCTGCTTCTATCTTTCTGTGGGGTGCGAATTAACGGATGTTTTGCAAGAAACCATGATTGTTGCCCATCATTGGGAAAATTCCTTCAAATTTACCTCAACCAATACTTTGACAACATGTAGGAATTACACTTGACTGTGCCATGCGATGTGATCTGGGAATGGCAGATTGTCCACATCTGTATTAAGTGGACTGAAGGGCAAAATGGTTTAAGAAGAGAAATGCCAATCTAATCAGCAGCAGAAACCAAAGTATTCATCATGCCTAAAGTTGGGATGCAAACAAACATCAGGACTTTGATGACCAAAGTGACCAACTAGCAGCAATATTATTTACTTGGCAGGATTTAAAGTAGCAACAACTGGAGCCAGCCATGTCTTGCAGCTTAAACCACTGGAACCACTCGAAGTGTTGCTTTGGATTACTAAATCCAATCTAGGGTTGCCCCTGGATTCGTCAAGTCCTGATTGATTGAGATGGATCTGCATCAAGCAAAGAAGAATAAATGGCTTCGAAACAGCAACATCTTTAAGGTGTCAGGATAGCAAAGCGACGGAAAATCATATAATCATTTTGAACTATCAACTTACCTGCTTCGAAAGTATCTTCCGAATTGCAGCGGCGATGGAAAGCACGCCAGTTGCCACCTATCATTGACCCAGCATTGGTGTGCGACACAGAACACGCCCCAGCTAGCAAAAACCACGGGGGTTTTCATGTTCAAAAAGGTTTGTCCAAGAATGCGGGTGGTAGAACAATGAATCATCGGACCATGAGATTGAAGGCATATAATATATTATAATATAGGCATCTTCTCCAGACCCGTTTTTCAGTAAACATTGTTGACCATAGGAATTTCGGAATTTCCATAAGCGAAACAGCTCAGCGCCGCGGGCGCTCCTTGGGTCCTCTGTAGACAATAATGAACAGCGGTCATCCGACACAGATCGTGCATAGCCTGCTGCTCCTGTCGGCACCATCTCCATCGGGTCAAAACGGCGCCGCGCCGGGTCGGAGCAAGGTCGGAGTAGCCAAAAACGGCTGCAGATTGCGAGGCTTGCGTCAAAGCCACCGAAGTTAGAAGCTGACAACTTGGATAGAATCATCAATGATAAAAATTAAGATGAAAGTACAATTATACGGATAATTGAGGAAGGTACATAGGAAACTGAAATATTTACCCTCCAGTAAATTAACATAGACCCTGGTAGATAGGGGTTGGAAGATTAGTTTCCTTTAAAAATTGGTGATTTTCAGGGTCTATGTCAATTTACCAGAGGGTAAACCTCCATTTTCCTATGGTTTTCCTATGATTTTCCCATTTTCCTATGGTTTTTCTATGGTGTTTTTATGATTTTCCCCAGATTGCACGTTGAAACTGCAATGGTCCCAGCTGTCGGGTTCAGGGCAGATAAAAAACCCCTGCCAAGCGCCTCGTGTCCAGTTGTGGATTGATTGAATCAAAAAAAAAGTGGGCTACTTTCGCTTAATTGAGCTATCTAAAATATGGTTATAGGTATAATATGGTATAATAGGTTGATAGGCTATAATGGTTGATACTTAAACTAGTTGGTTGATAGGTTACAATGGTCCCAAATAAATTAAGTCGTGAATTGATGTAAAGGGTCCCAATTTGTGCAACGTTTCACGTATTTTCACGTGAGCAGCGGCCAAAACCTCGTGCCAATCCCCTACAATGCTTGGTGAATTGGCATGTTCATCGATATGACGCCCAGGTCCATGGGTCCCCTTTCTGCAAACAAGTGCAGGTTTCCTATAGAAAATTTAGGTACCCCAAATCCAAAATGCTAAGCATTTTCTGGTTGGTGGTTTCAACCAACCCCTCTGAAAAATATGACGAATCGTCAGTTGGGATGATGACATTCCCAATATATGGAAAGTCAAAAAAAAAACATGGTTCCAAACCACCAAGCAGTGATTATAAGCCATTTATATATGGGGATAACCATAAATAACCCATTCATTTTTTGGGAACTTATTAATAAAGTTAAAAAAAAAAAAACACCAACCAGATTTTAATATTGAAACCCATGGTGACTTGGGTATTGAAACCCATAGATATCCATAGATCCAGCTCCTGCCAGGCTTTCTCTGAAAGTTGAAGAAAAAAATTGCGTACATAACCCACTATTTTAACGGACAAACATGGACAAACCTATAATATACAGTATACATATATTATCTGGGTAATTTATAATAATTCACCAACCTGAATTAAGGCCATTTGGGGATGATGTCCCTTATTAACCATGATTCCAGTGAGGTCGCAGTGAGGTCGTTATAATTTACCCATATATATATATATATATATACACTGCTGGTTGTAAATCCCAATGGTATCCAATTAATTCCCATTGTATCCTATGAAACCTGTATTAAAACATATTAAAACCCCATTAAATTCCACTAAAATCAACAAAACATCCCATTTAATTCCATTAAACGCCATTAAAGTCCTATTAAAATCCATTAAAGTCCCATTCAAATCCATAAAGTCCCATTCAAATCCATTCAAGTCTCATTGAACTCCATTAAAGTTTAGAATCCACTAAAGTCCCATTAGAATCCACTAAAGTCCCATTATAAATAGCATTTCTCGGATCCGAGTTGTTGTTTTCAGGAGCCCTTCTTCGGCCCCAGCCCTCCCACCTGCTCCCACCGCGGGCCGTGGCAGCCCGATCCTGTCACCATCTTGAGAGATCAGCAGTCAAACTCAAGGCCGAATGATATGGCGATTACCCTCCAGTAAATTAACATACTTGGTGGCTCATCCCACTTAGTAAGTGGGTTATAGCCCTAGTTATAAATGGGATAAGTAGGGTTAATCCACTTATAATTGGGGTTATAACCCACTTACTAAGTGGGATGAGCCACCAAGTAGACCCTGCCAGATAGGGGTTGGAAGACTAGTGAAACCACTATAAATTGGTCATTTTCAGGGTCCAACTGTTAATTTACCAGGGGGTAAATGTCGTGAAAACAATAACTGGTTGGTGGTATACCTACCCCTCTGAAAAAATATGACTTCGTCAGTTGGGATGATGACATTCCCAACTGTATGGAAAGTCAAAAAAAAACATGGTTCCAAACCAGCAAGCAGATAATAAACCATCAATCCCTGAAATATCCCTGTGTTTGTTAGATTTTGTTGACGTCAAAGCTCCGTTTTTCGTCGTCAAAACAATGCCACAAACCCACCATCCCTCAGTCATCACCATTCTGATAGGTGGTTTTTGAACTTACCATTTACCATTCCCAGTCATTGATGGTTTATGACATTGTTTTACCCACATGATAGGTGGTTATGAATTGATTTATCCATCATTTAGTTGGATCAATGTCCTAACGAACCAAACCTCCATTAAGTTCGAGGATTTTCCGGCGGCCCGCCACCTTTGATGACACCGGAGGGCAGGCCCGTTATGGTATATATATATATATATATGGTTAACTGGGTTGAGAGTTCGACCCTGACATGGCCAGTTTCTAGTGGACACTAATCTTTCAAACCCCAACTCATGGCAGAGGCTATGTTAATTTACTGGAAGGTAATGTTACTGGATATCGTGCATAACCATGGCTAGAAATGGCCATGGAAATGAGATCAACATGGATTGGCAATGATTGGCACATATTAATAACCAACAATATGAGTGGGTTTGTCTGAAACTGCTGGGAATGCCATCAAATGGCAACAAAATCGTCGGATCAATGAATTGGCTCAGCAATGGATTTCCGGGCACCTGGCGTACACTTACCCTCTGGTAATTTAACCTAGCTATTGAAAATGGCCCATTCATAGTGGATTTTCCCATGAAAAATGGTGATTTTCCAGTTCGCTATGTAAACGTTTACCAGAGGGTACAGTATCCACATCCACATTTTTATCCCCTGCAACCAGACCCAGAATCCCCAAATCCCCAAATCCCAGACCCGCTTTCAGAGTGATGTGTCGCACCTCCAGGAAGCCGGTCTTGTTGATGTGGATACTGTGGCCCAAACGCGCCGGAGAGATGACCTGGGAGTCTGGGAGGCCACGTTGAACCACTGCACGGTTGCACGGTGTACTTTCGGCATGACGTCATTTTTCAGCAGATGCCGAATAAGTTGTCAGAGAAAGCCTAAAAATCGATTTTTTTATGGATCAGTTCATAACAGTTTGATCATTGTTAGATCATGTGAAATCCCCATATTTCAATATATTTCATGGTAACATCTCATTGAAGTGGCTTTCTCCATGGGTTTGGTATTCCCACTTTCCAACCCCTGCGCCCCCTTCGTCCCCTTCCAAGTTGCATGTTGCTTCAGCCGCGGCGTGCGTTGCGGCGGACACTCCGCTGTGGGTGGTCGCGGGGCTGTCAGGGCGGGGATTGACCCCTGGCCGTCCAAGGCTGGGCCATGGCCACGCGGGTTTCATGGTGATTCTATGGGACGCTACTGGGATTTTATGGAAGATCTTGGGGGATATATATATATATCCCATATGCTCCATGTATGGTATATTTACCTACATTTGGATCATTTATGGGATAAATGTTGGTAAATATTCCATACATGGAGCATCTGGGTATATATATATATAGTTAACTGGGTTTAATGATGTTCATCATGTTTTCAGATAGTGATGAATAACCATGGCTAGAAATCGCCATGGATGGGATCCACATGGATTAGCCTATATTAGAATAACCAACAATATATCAATATGATATGTGGGTTTGTCTGAAAATATTGAAAATGGGAAGGGTTCCATGAAATTAAAGTTTTAATAGAAGAAATTATGATTCATCAATGGATCCAGGGGCACTTGTTATGTTCAGACATGTTCAGACAAACCCTATAACTACGATCAATATAGATTAACCAATATCAATAAGGATCTAGAAAAGGATATGTAACCAAAAGCACGAGGTATGGGTGAGTCTGAAAATGGGACCATACCAACAAGATTTTAACAGGGAAACTGATCATTGACTGATTGATTCACAGAGGTAACTACCCTATTTCAAATGAACCCATATGTATTTGTGTATATCTACATCTCTACCTACTTACCTAGATACATCTGAAAAATCTATAATGATACTAGACTGAAATATTTGGAGTATCTACTCTCCATAATCAATACAAAATCCAATCGTTCGGGTACGGTTCTATAATTCTGTATATATATAATTATACATATATATATATATATGCCAGATTCATCTCGTCCACCAATACCATGCACACCCCAAACCAGGACTACATGAACCTTGATTCACCACCCCCACCAAAAAAAAACAGGTGATTGCGTTTTAAACAACCGCTTATGAAAAACATGTACAATGTATAAGCATTGTTGATAGACCTGGAAACAAATCCCACAGATAGGAATTTCCCATGGGCCTGGCGTGGGGTGGCGCTATGCGATGCCGGTGTCTCTTCCCATTTTATCCTGAAAAAACCAGGGTAGCTCCACGTGGAGAAGAAGGAAGCAACTCTGATAAAATCTAGAGACCCTCACCTAGCAGGTGGGGAAAAAAACACAGGTTTTTCACCCATACCATATATATACATATATAATTATATGTGTGTGTGTACCCAAATCATCAAACAAAAGAACCGTTGGAACGGCTCCACCATCGCAGTTTTTCCAAGTTGCATCTCCGGCGTGTAGTGGGTGTTGATGGTACCCTTCTGCACATGTGCCTGGTGGCAAAGCCGATAAAATGGAGGGGGTATTCCGTATTCCCCCCAATAGTGATAATCTGCCATCAAAATGCTAGCCCCGAATTAAACAGCCAAGGAGGCTACAAATCCGGGGTTGACAGTTTCTTTTAGACAGAGCAAACATGAAGCGAAAGATATGACATCTGTCAAGCAGGTCCCTTAAGTCTGCGGTCCACATTCTTGCGCAGCTGACAGCCAGGTTCCAAACCTGCAGCATCCTGCAGCTACAGTAATTCTTGGACAGTCACAACACGTGGCTTTGTCTGAAAATAGGCCACCTCTAAGTCCGTTGCTTCATCATCTTCCCGTATCTTCACCATGAAATGGCCTGTGAATTAAATGATATTAAATGCCTGACTCCCCCATTTTTAGACCCTTAAACATCCAAGAATCACCAAAGATCATCAGCCAAGTTGCCCAAATCATGGCAATTTCCCTAGGAACTCCTCCGTGACAACGCGACTTCCGGGCTGGCCATGGCGCCCAAGATGCTTTTCGCGCTTTGCGTCCGTCCCTATCAGCGCTGAAATCGTGGATCAAACGCAGATCAAACGTGATTAGAATATATAAACACAAGATAGAAATAGGATAGAAATAGATGGCTTTCGAATGCTTTTGATATGTTTTGATGCTTGACTCGGATCTTTTCAGAATGTCATGGGATAAATATCCAATCCTTCCCCAAAAAAATGAAAAAATGATCCCGGTGCCGTGTTGACACCGTGAAACCGGTGGAGTCTTTCCACCTGTCGGGCCAAGTTCAGACGGGCGCGCTGTCAGTTCACCCAAAAAAGGGCATTTTCTCATGGTTTAACTATGTTTACCATCTGATTATTTAACATCGCCATGGAAAATCCCTCATAAATGGAGGTTTCTAGCTGGGAAAATCATCTATAAAATGGTCCCTGTTCCACAGCTATGTTAAATAACCAGATGGTAATTAACCATGTTTAACCAGCATGTAACATAGCTATGTCATGCAATCTCTATAGGGAAACCAGGATCAAGCCTGATAAGATGGGTGGGTCTATTTCACGGGTGGGTCCGCATCATATGGGTAGGCAAGTTCCAACAGGGATGAGGGGTTGTGGATTCGCCAGTCAAACAACTTCCAATATTTTCTCTCAAAATCCCAAACGGATGCCATGAAATCACTGGCCTCACTGGCTCAGCACACCTAGATATTTCTCTCCAGTAATTGTTTGGCATGATTCCCCAAACATTCAGTGGGATATTCATGGATATCAATGGATATATATTGATATTAGTGATATTAGTGATACCCTCTGGTAATTTAACATAGCTATAGAAAATCACCATTTTTAATGGGAAAATCCACTATTAATGGCCATTTTCAATAGCTACGTTAAATTACCAGAGGGTATTCATGATGTTTTGTGAGGTTGTTGTACCCAGATCAAATCATGCCAGGGACGTTCCTGTTCTCCAAGTCCTCCTCGTCTCGTGCCAGGAACTCCTTGCTGCAAAAGGTTTTTGAATGGCTGAATCGCCTCAAATGGGCCACGTTTTACCGAACTCTACACCCAGTAAAATAGCAATTTCATTCAATGGATTGGTTTAGGGGAAATTTTACAGGAAAACATCATAATGTTGAGTCCTGATTAGTACCTAGGGTCGCTATTGTGGCAAATTTTTTCCAAATTATTCTGAAACTCATGTATTGTTTGGAGGGTTCGCTTTTGTGGCAAAACAAAATTGGGAGAGCCCTTTTTTTTTCAAAAAAAACTGTAATTGCTGAGAGGCATTTTTTCTCAAAAACGCTGTAGCTCAGTCAATTTTTTGCTCATCTCCCTATCTGAGCCTGTAAATGCATCTCTATCTGAGTAGGTTTGTTTGCTGGGTTCACTATTGCAGCAAGCTGTGCCAGAGCAGCCCCTGAAGAAGGGAAGCAAGCCATTTCCAAAATTAACAAATTCAAACTCCAAGCCTTTCCCAAAAGAACCAATCCCTTATTCAACCCTTATTAAAGAACAGCTTTCCCACAATTTTCCAAGGCCCTGGACCAGTAGAGGCCCCATTTCACTTTAGTAGGTTTGTTTGCTGGGTTCACTATTGCAGCAAGCTGTGCCAGAGCAGCCCCCGAAGAAGGGAAGCAAGCCATTTCCAAAATTGCCAAATTCAAACTGCAAGCCTTTCCCAAAAGAACCTATCCCTTATTAAACCCTTATTAAAGAACAGCTTTCCCACAATTTTCCAAGGCCCTGGACCAGTAGAAGCCCCATTTCACTTTAGTAGGTTTGTTTGCTGGGTTCACTATTGCAGCAAGCTGTGCCAGAGCAGCCCCTGAAGAAGGGAAGCAAGCCATTTCCAAAATTGCCAAATTCAAACTGCAAGCCTTTCCCAAAAGAACCAATCCCTTATTAAACCCTTATTAAAGAACAGCTTTCCCACACTTTTCCAAGGCCCTGGACCAGTAGAGGCCCCATTTCACTTTAGTAGGTTTGTTTGCTGGGTTCACTATTGCAGCAAGCTGTGCCAGAGCAGCCCCTGGAAGCCCAGAAGCGAAGCAAGCCATTTCCAAAATTGCCAAATTCAAACTCCAAGCCTTTCCCAAAAGAACCAATCCCTTATTAAACCCTTATTAAAGAACAGCTTTTCCACAATTTTCCAAGGCCCTGGACCAGGAGAGGCTCCATTTCACTTTAGTAGGTTTGTTTGCTGGGTTCACTATTGCAGCAAGCTGTGCCAGAGCAGCCCCTGCAGAAGGGAAGCAAGCCATTTCCAAAATTGCCAAATTCAAACTGCAAGCCTTTCCCAAAAGAACCAATCCCTTATTAAACCCTTATTAAAGAACAGCTTTTCCAATTTTCCTAGGCCCTGGACCAGGAGAGGCCCATTTCACTTTAGTAGGTTTGTTTGCTGGGTTCACTATTGCAGCAAGCTGTGCCAGAGCAGCCCCTAGAAGGGAAGCAAGCCTTTCCAAAATTGCCAAATTCAAACTGCAAGCCTTTCCCAAAAGAACCAATCCCTTATTAAACCCTTATTAAAGAACAGCTTTCCACAATTTTCCAAGGCCCTGGACCAGTAGAGGCCCCATTTCACTTTAGTAGGTTTGTTTACTGGGTTCACTATTGCAGCAAGCTGTGCCAGAGCAGCCCCTGCAAGCCCAGAAGGGAAGCAAGCCATTTCCAAAATTGCCAAATTCAAACTCCAAGCCTTTCCCAAGAGAACCAATCCCTTATTAAACCCTTAGTAAAGAACAGCTTTTCCACAATTTTCCAAGGCTGTGGACCAGGAGAGGCCCCATTTCACTTTAGTAGGTTTGTTTGCTGGGTTCACTATTGCAGCAAGCTGTGCCAGAGCAGCCCCTGGAAGCCCAGAAGAGAAGCAAGCCTTTTCCAAAGGCAATTGCCAAATTCAAACTCCAAGGCTTTCCCAAAGGAGCCAATCCCTTATTAAACCCTTATTAAAGAACAGCTTTTCCACAATTTTCCAAAACCCTGGACCAGGAGAGGCTCCATTTCACTTTAGTAGGTTTGTTTGTTGGGTTCACTATTGCAGCAAGCTGTGCCAGAGCAGCTCCTGGAAGCCCAGAAGAGAAGCAAGCCTTTTCCAAAGGCAATTGCCAAATTCAAACTCCAAGCCTTTCCCAAAGGAGCCAATCCCTTATTAAACCCTTATTAAAGAACAGCTTTTCCACAATTTTCCAAGGCCCTGGACCAGGAGAGGCTCCATTTCACTTTAGTAGGTTTGTTTGCTGGGTTCACTATTGCAGCAAGCTGTGCCAGAGCAGCCCCTGGAAGCCCAGAAGGGAAGCAAGCCTTTTCCAAAGGCAATTGCCAAATTCAAACCCCAAGCCTTTCCCAAAGGAGCCAATCCCTTATTAAACCCTTATTAAAGAACAGCTTTTCCACAATTTTCCAAGGCCCTGGACCAGTAGAGGCCCCATTTCCCTTTAGTAGGTTTGTTTGCTGGGTTCACTATTGCAGCAAGCTGTGCCAGAGCAGCCCCTGAAAGCCCAGAAGGGAAGCAAGCCTTTTCCAAAGGCAATTGCCAAATTCAAACCCCAAGCCTTTCCCAAAAGAACCAATCCCTTATTAAACCATTATTAAAGAACAGCTTTTCCACAATTTTCCAAGGCCCTGGACCAGGAGAGGCTCCATTTCACTTTAGTAGGTTTGTTTGCTGGGTTCACTATTGCAGCAAGCTGTGCCAGAGCAGCTCCTAGAAGCCCAGAAGAGAAGCAAGCCTTTTCCAAAGGCAATTGCCAAATTCAAACTTCAAGCCTTTCCTAAAGGAGCCAATCCCTTATTAAACCCTTATTAAAGAACAGCTTTTCCACAATTTTCCAAGGCCCTGGACCAGGAGAGGCTCCATTTCCCTTTAGTAGGTTTGTTTGCTGGGTTCACTATTGCAGCAAGCTGTGCCAGAGCAGCCCCTGAAGAAGGGAAGCAAGCCATTTCCAAAATTGCCAAATTCAAACTGCAAGCCTTTCCCAAAGGAGCCAATCCCTTATTAAACCCTTATCAAAGAACAGCTTTTCCACAATTTTCCAAGGCCCTGGGCCAGGAGAGGCTCCATTTCACTTTAGTAGGTTTGTTTGCTGGGTTCACTATTGCAGCAAGCTGTGCCAGAGCAGCTCCTAGAAGCCCAGAAGAGAAGCAAGCCTTTTCCAAAGGCAATTGCCAAATTCAAACTTCAAGCCTTTCCCAAAGGAGCCAATCCCTTATTAAACCCTTATTAAAGAACAGCTTTTCCACAATTTTCCAAGGCCCTGGACCAGGAGAGGCCCCATTTCACTTTAGTAGGTTTGTTTGCTGGGTTCACTATTGCAGCAAGCTGTGCCAGAGCAGCCCCTGGAAGCCCAGAAGGGAAGCAAGCCTTTTCCAAAGGCAA